GATTTCCTGGCGCCCTGTAATCCCTGGGGCCATGCCGGCGGTAGCGGACTCTTCCCCGACGCGGCGCAAACCTTCTCAGGTTCAAGCAGATTCAACCAGTCCCGGCTGGGGTTGGAGTCGCTGGATCTCAACGGCGGCGAGGACTGGCCGCAGATGCAGGCCTACGCGGGCTATATTCGGGGGGACAACGAGGTCCCCCCATGGCTCCCACCCCCATCCGCGTGACTTCCCGCAACACTGCCATCGCCGGCGGAGGAACATCCGTTGGAGGCGGCATGGGTGGAACATCCGTTGGAGGCGGCTTCGTCCCTCCTCTATCTCCTCCACGGGGAGGCGCGGGTGGCTGTCGCAGGGGCCGCAGTGCGCGTGTACGCGGGCCGGAGCCAGCCATTCTTGATGACAACTTCAATCAGGACGACAACACTCACGCCCCGCGAGTCCCGGTACAAATTCCACTCCCTTTCTCCTTGATCTTCTATTTCGTAGTAGATCTGCTGAGTTACATGCATGTGTCTAGGGTGCTATATGTATTATTTAGTTGCTCTTGCTATGAGTGTTCTGTGATACAAATTTAATCTACAACAGTTGTAGATATTGATTAACCTAGCTTAAGTGTTTACCAAATGGTTTAATCTCTGCACATGTCATGAACTGAAACAAGCATTGTTTAGGCTATGAAACACAAGGCCAACTGGACTGTCCCGAACACTAAGAAGTTATGTGACATATGGTGCCATGAAATTGCCATTGGCAATTGTACCAAGGGAGTCATGAGCAAGACTGGGTGGAGGGACCTCATAAGGAGGTACCAAGCAGCAACAGGTTTGGTCCATGACAGGGAGCAGATGTTGGTAGGCTAAGGCAGCTGAAGGCTCAATGGGCATTCTGTAACAAGCTCCGCTACGCCTCTGGCTTAGGCCGTAGCGACGATGGAACTGTTGAGGCCACTGATGCATGGTGGAAAGCAAATACCAACGTAAATGATCTATCTATCTCTTCTGAGTTTCAGCACTTACTAAGTAAAACATTGCATAACAAAGGATTTCATATTGCAGGGGCAGTCTGATTTGATGAAGTTCAGGAAATGTTTGCCTGAGTACTTAGATCAAATGGACAAAATGTTTACTGGAAACACAGTAGATGGCTCCACATCTTTTGTTGCTGGTGAAAGTGGTAGTATTGATTTGGATGGTGGAAGCTCCGATGAAGAGGCAGCAGATGAAATGGAAGACCAGCTGACCCCACTGAGCATTGGCAACAAGAGGGCCAGCAACACGAGCACCACTGCATCCAGCCCACGCAAGAGATCCAAGAGCCTAGCACTGAGGGCAATGGACAACAACATGATGACACACAATGAAATTGCCAACCGTAGGCTCTGCCTGATGGAGAGCATGTTTGAGCACAGGAAGCAAGAGGACCATAATTCACGGTCGGCCCTTAGCCAGAAGATAGACAGGGTCACCCAGATAGCAAGGGAGATGGGTATAAGTGCACAGACTCCAACATTGTCCAGGGGCCTGTACAAGATCACCCACAATGAAATTGATATGGACTTCTTCCTTGCCAACGGCCCTGAAGAAAGGATGATCATCATCGAGCAAGCTGCGTCGGTGGACCCATAGACCATCTTATCTTATTTCGTCTATGAATTGAAGTTCATGTCATAATAGTGTCGTCAAACAATGTCGGCCATGTCCTATGTCATATGAACTAAGTCTGTACTGCATGAATGTGTGTTTGAACTGTGTTTGTGATGTTTCTTATTTCAACAACTTAAATGTAGTAATGTTTGGTGAACTTGAAGTATGGTGACCATGTCAACTATGTGATGCATGGGTGAGAGGGAATGGGAAATGTCAGTGAACGTAGTCATGCATGACATGAATTATAATGTGATTCATGACTGACTTTAGTCCTTGTTTGTTTGGACAGGTTGATGTTGTATCAGGAGCAGCAACCCATTGTGTAGACCCTTGGGATGTTTTCCAAGAGATGATGATGGCTGAGTTAGAGGATGCTGAAGATGATGATGCTTTTATCTATGGTATGTACCAGTATGCCCTACACATTGACAAGCATTTGAATAGGGCTGAGTATAGGCAACCTGCCATGACTGGTTTGGAATGGGTACAGAGGAAGCTTGGGGATAGCAAGGTCTGTTCTAGCATGTTTAGAATGAGCCCACCTATGTTCCATACACTGCATGATCTTTTAGTACACTCATATGGCCTGAAATCTAGTGCTAAGTCCACCTCGGTTAAGGCTCTAGGGATGTTTCTTTGGATGCTTGGGGCACCACAATCTTTTTGGCAAGCTGAGGACAGATTTGAGAGGTCACTAGGGACTGTCTCCAACATGTTAAACAAAGTTTTGAAGTGTATGGTGAAGCTTGCTGCTGACATTATTAAGCCTGTCGACCCACAATTTAGAACAATGCATTCTAGACTGAGAAACCCTAGGTTCTATCCCTACTTCAAGGACTGCATAGGGGTATAGATGGGACTCATGTACCTTGTGTGGTGCCCAATGATAAGTTTGTGCAGCACTTGTGCCGTAAGGGCATGACTACACAAAATGTCATGGTTGTCTGTGACTTTGACATGAGATTTATATTTGTTCTTGCTGGTTGGCCGGGGTCTGTACATGACATGAGAGTATTCAATGATGCAACAACAACATACAGCCATGTCTTTCCACATCCACCTGCAGGTACACACCTAGCAGATAGCACATTTGGGTCCTTGTTGTTCAACTACATGAATGTAAAATATTTTGTTGCTGATGTAGGAAAATATTACCTTGTGGACTCCGGGTACCCTAACCGGCTAGGTTACCTTGCTCCTTATAAGGGAACTAAGTACCATCTGCAGGAATATCGAGATGCCCCAGAACCCCAAGGTAAAGAGGAGACCTTCAATTATGCACATTCATGTCTTCGAAATGTCATTGAAAGGTCATTTGGAGTTTTGAAAATGAGATGGCGCATCTTGCATCAGATCCCTTCTTATGCACCCCATAAATAAAGCCAAATCATAGTTGCATGTTGTGCTCTACATAATTTCATTAGGATAAGTGGCATAGGGGATAGACACTTTACAAGGTGTGACCGTGATGATAACTATGTGCCGCGAGAAGCGTCTGAGAATCAGCCTGACCCCGAGGAAGTTGAGGATGAGTCTGATCTGATGAATGAATTTCGTGATTCGATTGCTTATGCTTTGCTAAACCGTTATTGATAGTTTTGTGTGTTTGAGGTCATGTATGTGTACTGCATATGTACAGTTGCGTCAGTACAGTTTTGTGGATGAATCATGCATGATTAATTGTTAATTACATCTGTTGTGTCATTTGGATCAAACATGCATGCTGTTGCATGAGAGACAACAACATGCATGCATTTCAAGCTTCAGCATGCATTGGCTGCATGCATATGTCAGCATGCATTGGCTGCATGCATGCAATTGTTACAGCTGCCAGGTTTTGGAAATGGCAGCCAAAAATTTTTGGCAACTAAACAGCAAACCCAAAATATTTTAAATCTCAGGTTTTTGGCCAAAACCTGCTGCTGTTAAATTTTTGGCTGAGGCCAAAAATTTTTGGCATCTAAAAGCAGCCTGAGTGTTGAATGATTTTCACAACAGTGCTGACCGCGGCTCAGTCCAGCTCAGGGAGCAGAGCAGGCAGTGAACTACTAGCAATATAATACAGTTTGGTCAACATAGTTCATCTGATTGTTTCAAAAAGAAATATTTTTCATGTGGAATAAAACAGAACAAGAAAGGGAGACAGCTGAGCTGCATCAAAAATCACTGCTTAATCAGACCGATGCTCACACTTATGCTGGCACCCTGCACCACACGTATGCAATAAATCAGCCTGCTGCTACCGCTCGGCTTGCCCTCAGGCTAAGTTTAGTTTCCTAAAAAATTTCAACTCAAGCTATCACATCGAATCTTACAGCATATATATGGAGCATTAAATATAGACGAAAAAAAACTAATTACACAGTTTGGTTGAAAATCACGAGACGGATGTTTTAAGCCTAATTAATCCATAATTAGCCATAAGTGCTACAGTACCAACATGTGTTAATAACAAATTAATTAGGCTTAATAAATTCATCTCGTAGTTTTCAGACGAGCTATGTAATTAGTTTTTTTATTACTATCAAAAACATCTTCCGACATAAAAACAACCGATCTGACGTAAAGAATTTTCATTTCGCGAAACGCAGCCTGATGAACGCGTAGCGGCCCTCGACAGTACTACTGCTGCGCTCTGCGTTACTGATGGCGCGATCAACGAAGCCGGCCCGGTCCACCAGGCTACAGCGAGTGAGGCAGTGACCCCAGCTGCATGCTGTCTGCGCTCAGGATGACTATTGACCCAATCCATCGTACATTCGTACGTGGATGAATGGATGGATAATTACGGGCCAGCAACCGATCGGATAGAATATAATAAGCTTGCATGCATTGAGGCTTGTTTAGATTATAAATTTTTATAATCTGAACACTGTAGCACGTTTCGTTTATATTTGATAAACTTTGTCCGATCATGAACTAACTAGCTCAAAAGATTCGTCTTGTGATTTACAACCAAACTGTGTAATTAGTTATTTTTTTACCTACATTTAATGCTCCATGCATAGGTCCAAAAATTGATGTAACGGAGAGAGTAAAAAAACTTGGAATTTTGAGCCAATTTAAACAATGCATGAATAGGAGTTGGCAAGGGTGGCTACACATTTTGTCCATTCGATCCATTCCAATGTCTGATTCAGCTGCAAATAATGCATGACTATTCCCTACAGTTCCTCGTGTCCCAGAATCACATTTGCTGATTCTAAGCTATGTAAGTACTCCATAAGCTACTACAGAATCAAGTTCACTCAGCGGGGTCCTCAATGACGACGTGGAAGCCTAGCTCACATCCACGGCGGCCAAAAAAAAGTACAACTACCACTAAGCCAGCGAAGTCGCCTGTTGGACACGCCCTCAAGGCGCACCAGCACTGCGCTTCAGGCTGCTGCTACTGCTTCCCGCTCCTGAGCCAGATGTTCCCACCTTCTTGATGATACCTACAGACGAGACATCATTGTCAGCAAGAGAAATAATAACACAAATAGTTTGGAAACAATAAACCATTGTTAGAAATTAATAGTACAGTAATATTTGTTTTCTTACCCCAAGATGTCAGCCTGGCGGTGATCTCACCCAAGGAGACGAAGTATATGTCACGCAATCTGTGTTTCCCCCATGTAGCAGCCCAAGAACTTTACCTGCCGTGTCCACCACTGGTGCGCCTGAGCTCCCGGCCTCAGAAGTGATATTCACTTCAATAGCAGAGAAGTTATAGCCATGTTCATTGTCATCATGGATATCTTCTTGACCCCTCAGGTTATGAGACATGGACCCTTTGACAGTTGTCCCATGCCTATCAAATGGCCAACTAACCATACCTACCAGGCCTAGACGGCTTGGGGGTAGGTTCTCAGCCACCTCCAGAACCAAATGGTTCTCAGGCCCTGTGTAGTTGCACCACAAAATGTCAAATTTTTCAAGATTTTCTGTCACATCGAATCTTTAGACGCATGCATGAAGCATTAAATATAAATAAAAAATAAAACTAATTACACAGTTTAGATGAAATCCACGAGACGAATCTTTTAAGCCTAATTAGACTATGATTGAACACTAATTACTAAATAACAACGAAAACTGCTACAGTATCATTTTGCCAAAATTTTCGCATCTAAACTGGCCCTCAGTGCACAAACCCTGCTTCTGAACCCTCAAGAGCAGCATGTCTTTCCTTGAGTCAACCCTGTAAACTTCAGCCTCGGTATACACTCTCGGTCCCCTCTGGTTATGCTTAAGCTCTTCATGACCACACCTGACCGAAATCTTGAACAGTTTCCTCAAAGATGTAGCTGAAATTGGATTAGATCGATTGAAGCATGCTTGGAATGCATGAGCGCAAGTCAGTATGAACAGATAACCCTGATTTTCTCCAACCACAAAGCCCGTGGTAGTTTCTGAGATAGCACCCACAATTTCATCCCTCTTTTTATGCCATTCATCTTTCCTCGCAGCAGGCAGCTTGGCTATCAGTTGCTGGATATAAGCTTCGAGATCAGATTTATCCCTGGACTCAAACTTCACATGAAAAATGGACCCGGATATCTTTTCACAAGCCAATTTCAGACGTTCGTCATCAGAGACCGAGGCAACCTATTGAAAACAATAGAGTATATCACTTAAATTTGAAACACCTCAGCTGGGCAAAACATCGAACACATCGGCTGGGCAAAACATCGAACACCTCGGCTGGGATGGCAAAACATCGAACACCTCTCGGCTGGGATGGCAAAACATCCCGTTCAATAAAACGGGACCAATCGGTACCACCAGAAGAGGAGATGGGTGAGATGGGTGCTTACATTGGGGACCGCAGTAGCAGATGTGCCGCTCGCGGGCATCGCCGGGGTGGATCCGGCCTTGCTGATGTGTGCCGGTTCACCTGGAGCCGAACTGGGCACCTGTGCGGGGACGGGTCCGGGGGACGGCGGTGTGGATCCGGGGGCCGGCGGCTTGGACTCCATGACGGGAGCAGTCGCGATCCGGAGGACGGAGGAAGAGGAAGGTGTGAATCCCACGGGGAGCGGCGGGCGGGTACGGCAGTGTGAAACCTGTAGCGCGCCGCCTGCGTCGGCCGCAGCTGTGGGAGGGGATACGAGAGCAACGGGCTCCGCGGTGGAGCGTGGTTTTTTTTTTCAATTTGATCTTTTTTAAAACTATTTTTACATTTAGCCCCCAGCAAAATTTATTCTAAAAAAATAGACCCTTTGTCTCGGCGTTTACCGAGGTTTGTGGCTCGACGTGGTCCCGTGATACGCCGAGATTGCCACGTTAGTGCCCAGCTCAGCGTGACAGCCATTAACATCGAGTCACGTACCTCGGCGTTAACCCGCGCCACAACGAGGTCTGGGCACTTAACGCCCGTGACCAGCCCTTCTTCCTCCTCCCCTCTTTCTTTTTACTTCTGGCATCGCCCCCTTCTCTCTCCGCACCCGAAAAACTAGGATCGATTTGACATGTTATGAGCCCGCATTCAGCGTGGATTAGTCTCCCCGAGGTAATTCCCATCTCCTCTTCTCTTTGAATCGAATGGATTTTAGGTACATTTCTTCTTTGAGTTGGAGCACTAGGGTTAGAGTTCATGAATGGTTGTTAGAGTTTCGGGTTGGAGCACTAGCATTGTTAGAGCACTAGCATGAGTTGGAGCACTAGGGTTAGAGTTCATGAATGGTTGTTAGAGTTTCGAGTTGGAGCACTAGCCTTGTTAGAGCACTATCATTGTTAGAGCACTTCATCTAGCTAGATATGTATTGGTCAAAGATAAATAGTTACGTCGTCATTAGAGCGCTCTCTCTCTTTTAGTACACTCAGCATTGGTTGTTATCCCTTTTAGAATGTTCCATTTGAGTATTGCAGTTGTTATTTTTAAGAGTAAAATGCACCGGAGGTTCATCAATTTGTAAGAGGTGTCACTTATGTCCATCAGCTCTGAAAGTGTTTTTTTTGGTCCATCAATTTTTTAAGTCATTCACCGTAGGTCCATACCCCTCTACATGGACATCTGATGATGATGTGGCACGCTTATTGGACGTCTTAATTCTCTATGTTAAGGAGCTGATCCGAATACAGATACAAGGCCCCCCACTCATCACAACGAATGGCGAGCTTTCCCACTAGCCTCACACGATTAATTGATCACGTTGTGGGCGCCTCGACCACCACAAGCTTGGCCAGCGCTCACAGCAGCCGCCGGCGAGGACGCGCCGCAGCCCACCGAGGGGGCTAGCCGGCGTGCCGTTGTCCACTTCCGCCTCCCATCTGCGTGGGCTATGGTGGCGCCTCTCTCCTCCACGACATGAATGGCGATGAAGATGGATAGCACCACCAACGTCGAGGGCTGAGGCGGCATCGTGTCCTACATCCGTCTTCACGGCGTACTTCTTTCCTCGAAGGAGAGGGAGGAGGGCTGGGCCGATGGGTCTCTGTCGGGGCCCCAAGGAGGAAAGGGAAACAAGATGACGCTCGTTAAAGTCCAGGCACATAGGAAATTTGAGCTTCCTCAATTCTTCGAAATCCCAACAAGATGGGCACGAATGAGCGCAGGACACGAGTCTACCTCCATGGACGCTAGGAGCACGCGAGCCGGCGGGAGAGGTCGGCCGCGGCAAGGTGCCACTACTCACCGTCCCCTATCCCGTTGGCGGCGCCGCCCAAGGCCGACGTCGGTGATGGCGACTAGCGGGGTGGAGGAGAGCGTGAGGGAGACGAACAAAAAGCGGATGCAGAAAGGAACGTCGGCGCTCAAGATATGCTCGATAAAATGCCAGAGATGGATGGAGAGAAAGGAGAGGGATGAGAGAGGAGATTCCTCGTCGGCGTGTCATGTCAACATTAGATAGCCATGTGGAGATGTATGGACCTGAGGTGAACGACTTAATAAGTTTATAGATCCAAAAATGCACTTTCAAAGTTCGTAGACCTAAGTGGCACCTCCTTACAAGTTGGTGGACCTCCGATGTATTTTACTCTTTTTTTTAATGATGGGGCCATGGTAGTTTATGGTATCTAATCATAGAATTTAAGGATTATTGGTCAATATGAGAGCATTTGGCAACCATATAATTTTCTTACATTACATCATTGCATTTTTTTTCCGGCAATGAAGAACAACGACGAAAGGGCAATCAATCGTCGCGCGCGTTGACGCCGCGGACCGACTCCCACCGGAGCGACTCGAGAAGGCGAAGAAGGAAGCATTGGAGCAGGAACTGCCAACCACTCAGCCAGAAAAAAGGCCGAACAGTTTTGTGCGACGAAAACATTTTCTTTTTTTCTTTTTTGATAGAAAACATACTTCCATATCAACAGCATGGAGCTGTTAGAACCATTACAGAGTCAATGGTTACGGTTTGCAGTGCATTAGCTACTGTGCACTGGTGTACATGATCTGCATTAGAACAGCTATAAGAAGAAACAGGAGTATCAGACTCTATGTTTCTTAGCGCTTGTCTTGCAAGTGAATCAGCAGTTTGATTCAGACTCCTATTGATGTTGAAAGTTGCTGTTCTTCTGTTGCGGGTGCAGTTGATGAAGAGCTGTCAGGTGCTTGATTCTCCAATCCGGGGGATTGGAGTGGTCTGCTGAATTTAAGAACTGAACCAGCTCTTGATTATCCAATAAGAAATTTGTGTGTTGAAGATGTCATCGATCAATAATAGCTGCAGCCAGAGCAAGAGCTGCTGCCGCAGCCATGAGAGCAGTTTTGTGCAACGAAAACATTAAAACGGTAGCAGCGAAATAGTTTTATCGCGAAACAACGTGACGACCGCACCCGTCTCCCCTTTTTGGCGACCGAGGCTTGTCTATCACTCACCCATTTGCCTGGATTAAGGGCAGCCCTTGCCCCTTGGAGCCTAACAGCCATTTTGGATGGTCTCACAAAGTGTATGATCCCAATGTACGGTACTTCTGGATTGCGTAAGCTTTTTAACCGTCCCAGTCCCGCACAAGCTCGAGTAGCTACAACCAAAACCCTAGCCCAAATAGCTAGCCGGAGAATCGGTTTTACACGATGGAGCCCCCATGGATGAACGGGAGAAAAATCACCTGAATGGCTTTTAAAGAAAAAAAATACGTTGGCCGTAGCTCGGAGAGTCCAACCAAACATAAATTAGGAGTTTATACGATTAAATGACAAATATTAAGTTATCACATACTTGTAGTACAACACCTGACATTAAACAAGATAGCGAGAAAATAAAGGTCTACCCATAGACAAACAATTGCAAGTTCTTCAAGGAGACGACTGAGCAGCCTTCATTTTTTTCACCAAGTTCATCATCATCTCTTCTAAAAGGAGACATCTGTCATGTGAATGTAATCAATGCGTACAAGAGAAAAAACTTATCAGCCTTCAGATTATTTTCTCTCACAGAAAACTATTGAATCAGCCGAAAAAACTACCAGCCGAACAGCCCCAAAATGAAAAATTGAACAGCCCCAAAATGAAAAATTATCACAAGAGTGCACTGGCGTACGTAAACGACAGGCAAAGCACGCAAAAGTGCAATGGACAAGCAAAGCACTCAAAGGACAACATAATTAACGCGGGAAAAAATTAACTTGCCTGGAGCAGCTACATTTGGCCTTTTGTAGATAACATTGTATTTACCTAAACAGTAAACTATTTGTTAGAATCGAGGTAGAAAGGCCTCTTGCGGAAATAGGGAATTCACTAAACAGCAAAATATTGGTTAGATGTATATAGCACTGAAGCCCAACCATCTCTGTTCTTAAAAGAACTGGACTGAACCAAGATCTATATAAATTTGAACTAGAGTTGCTAACAACTCAACGAGACCTACATAACAATTGAACTTCACTTTTACACACAAAAAGAAAATCACTTGACTGCATAGGAGTGCTAGGTTTCATTGTGACTATAACTGACCATCGATTTTTAGAAAGGGTAATTACAACATGCTGGATCAGCCAACCCAAAAGAAAAGGCTAACTACTACTATGCTTCGACATAAATTGGAGTAAATGTCTCTCTTTTTCTTTCTCTAATGGGTGTTTAAACTTGAAATAAGATGTATACCTTCTTCGATGATTTCCTCATCATTTGACAGTTTTGCTCTTAACAGTATTCTGCCACGGGCACATTTGGTGGTGTTGAATACGCCGAGCTACAAACATAAATTAAAACAAAATACTTAATGCAGCTGAACAGGATTATTTCAATCTCAAAGAAATACACCGCCACAGAGCTCAAGTTTCAAGCAAATTGGTGTATGATAGAGATGAAAACATGTGCCACTAACAAAGATATACAGGTTTAAAAATCCAACCCTCCGATCACAAAAATGCAAGTCATTTAGGACATTGACATTGTCTACAAGGTGAATCTTGACAAGCAGTTTCCATAAGAATTTGAATGTAAAAGGACTTATATTTCTGATTAATCTACTAATGGTCTAATGTAGACATTACATTGTCAAACTAAATTCTTTATATACTGATGGTCAAAGTAGAAAAAGCTTGATTGACAAGGATTCTAAAACATATATTTACAATTGGAGCACGCATAATTTCTTACTCTATTCGTTTTGATATCTTTACCGTCTCATGTCATGTTTTAGCTGACCTATTCATCTCGTCACATTATTAGAATGTCATAGGATTCTGGTGTGTTTGTTTGGTTTTGCACCCAAAATTTCACAAGCTATGCAAAGATTTTTTTTACTATGGTTAAGTTTGCCCACTTCATTTGGTTGGCTGCAAAACTTGGCATGATAGCCCTCAGAACTTTGTGCAAGTGTTACTACAGCCAGAGTTAGAAGATTAACTCAGATAAGTCACTGACTAAATCATTCTTCCATGCCTTCATCCATATCGAACTGTGCACACACATCAGGAAAACATAGGGAATACGCTGCCAATGATTTGTGTGGTTGGCAATACACAACAGATGTCGGACTACATCATCCACTCATCTCTTTGTGTGTTTGCAACAGCAAACTAATGATTCAGGCATTCAGCGATTGGTAGGTGAAGACAAGCAAAAGGTTAAACGAAGTTGATAAGAGGATTCAACTTGCTAGTAATCCTAGGAATTTGATGGGTATGGAATGAAAAAAAAAAAGAACACAATGTTCACGTGTTGAATGGTGCGACACCAAGTGCTCAAAGGGGCCCTTCGACTTACCAGAGATGAGGGTTATGGTCTGATGCGGGGGCTAAGGGTGCACACCTCGCTGGTGGAGGACAGTTGAAACAAAACTTACCGCTAACGTTACATCCACGCCGGAGCCAGGGACAATTCCTTTTTCCAAAAGGGCCTTGCTTATATCTAGCAACTTATTCTCCAACTAAAAATAGCAACAAGTAACATATATGAGCATAAAGCAAAAGATTATGCATGAAATATGACTTCTGTTTATAATAACATTTATAGAGAACATGATTTGATCAATAATGCACATATACCTCAACTGCAGTAGCAATGACTTCACCATTCACGGATAGAATAATATCACCCATCCTAACACCAAGTTTCTCAGCATTAGATTCTGCTGACACCTGCAGTTCAATGGAAATAAATAAGCCCTTATGCATAACAATGAAAACAAATGTTAGAAAAATGAAAAAAAATGGTTCTACTTATGGATGGACAATCAATACCTCTTTGACGATAAGACCGGCATCAACATTATACTTCCGAGATATCTTCTCTTTACTGACAAGGTTTAAACATTTGATGCCAAAAAGCTTCATCCCAAGATGGATCCGAGGTACATGACTATACCAAACATTTATTAGATTCCAAGGTAGGCAAATAAAAGCAAACATTTTCAACAAAGTGGTTAAAAGTTACAAACGAAAGTGTGTATCAAACAGAACCAGATAATTTGATCTTAAATATATAAGCCTACAAAGTATCGTGTGATTTAACCCCTCCCGACCCAATAAAAAACCCTTTTAAAAAACTTGTTCAAATGACCTTCTACAAGGTTTTAGAGCTTGTTCAGTCAACCCAGGTGGTGACAAAACACAGTTTCATCCTAGCTTTGGTGTTGAAGATGACCTGACACAGTCCCCTTTTGGTCAGAATAAAGAGTACAGATAGTCATATGTATGTTTTATGTTTAGAATCTACAATGCATTACAAATTTCATCAGAAATGCTTGCATGTTTCTGAAACTAGCATTTCTCGTCACCAATTTCCCATCAAATGGTCATGGTCACGTAAGAAGATATATTCTGTTAGATTAATCAAAGGATCAGTGTGCTTCTACCGGTGCATTATTTATGTAGGTAAATGTAGGTACAAATTACATCAGACACTTGGATGTTTCCAAAATAGGCATTGGTAGGTACTAATACCCAAAATGCGCAAAACTTAATATACCTAACCCAGTTCCATGGCAGGCAGAAAATGGCAATGCTCAGATCGCATCCATTTCCCACCTCACCAAACCCAATATCTAGAAATAAAGCGGTTGTAGTCTAAGGCATTAAAACAAAACAAGACCAACTAGGCTTTTATACAAAAGCATAACTAAGAAAAGGCTCATCTTCAAAGGGGGCTGAGCAACATTATAGAACAATAGAAAAGAAAGAGAAACATACCTGTATGTCCTCCAAATCTCCAAACACTTTCGAATGATTGAAGAAGGTATGAAATGTATGGAACTAGTTATCATTCCAGTAACATCTCCTTCAAAGTTTATAACTGCCCCTCCAGCACCAAACTACATATTTTTTGTTGTTAGCACAAAATTTAAAGCGGCGTGCAAATCAAAATAAGAAGAATATGAATTGTACCGGAGAGATATGACCATCGGTGTACATGTAATGGTGATGTTGAAACTTGCCTGCACCTTTGCTCAGCACTTTGCCATTACCTATTTGTAAATTCAACTCATATCTTCCAAGAAGGAAAACATCCTGAGCAAACCGTTCATTGCTGAAACGAGGTAACTTCTTTGGTTCATCCATGAGTACACGGAACACGGCAAAATCATATTGCTTATCTAAATACATCAATTCACCCTTCCCAAAATCATCCTTATGCAATAACTGAACACGGACCTAGAACAATAGTTGGAAAAGACATGATGCTATCTTTGAGAAAGTAGCTTTCTAGAAATGCACAACATAACCTATTAAATCTAAAACTAAAGCATCTAGAAAAGCCGAGGGAGTTATCATTTTTTTAGCTATCTACACCATAAGTGATACCAAGGAATGGTACAGAAGTAAATAATGTCCACAGAACAATGCACAATCTGCCACTCCCGCTTTGGGTCGAAATTTCTTATCATTCGATATAGCCCATCAAATTGTTCTGAAAACTAACGCTAATATTTTTTTCTTTTAAAAAAGGCATTATATTTTGAAAAACTTACCTCAGCATTTAGAGCATATTCATCTCCGGATTCTCCGCCTAACCACTCATCCACATTTGGAGATCTTGAGCAGATGAGTTGCGATGTTGTTAGAATGGTTCCAGCGCCCTTACTCCACTCCATCAAAATGCCAGAGCAGTTTCTTAGTAACTCACCATCTGCATATGCACATTTGCGTTAGGAAATTACAGCAAAATCTGTAGCACAACGAAATACAACAATATTACATACCAATATATGAGGAGAGCCCTAAAACAAACTCTGATGCTTTAAGGATGGTATCTGCTTCACTTTCTTGAATAATATTTGGACTAGTAGCAGTGTCTGAATCCAGTGTGGGAAGCTTCGTTATTTGAGCTACACATAGAAAAAAAGAAAAACACAAAGTGAAAAAAAAAAATAGGACGAAGTTTAACTACGAACATGAATTTTGTGCTGCATAGGGAAAGACAATATATATATAGGTCCATAAATTAATTAGCTATCGAACATAGTCTTGCCTACTACTACTGTACTTTGTTGGTTCTAAGCAATGATGCATGGATACCAATTGTTGTTCTTTGGTCCTAGACAGGATACAAAGAGGAATTGGGTGCTGAAATACGAACCTATCTTGTCAAAGTACTCTTTTTCCGCCTTCCAGTAGGGTTCCATCAGCACTGGGTCCGGGTCAGGGGATTGTTCTTCGCAGAGTTGTCCGTTTGAATCCTGCTCCAGCAGGTACGGCATACGGAGGGGAGAGGAGTTGGGTAAAAAGGCACCTGCAGCAGCAGTATCCTCAGGCTCCAGCATGGCACCCGCAGCAGTATCCTCAGGCTCCAGCATAGGCTCCACCTCTTCCCCTCCGGCAGGTGAAGCTGGAGCTGTCAACTCTTCCCCGCCGGCAGTTGAAGCTGGCAAAGCTTTCCCTCCGGCAGTTGAAGCTGAAGCAGGCTCGGGAGTCACCAACTGTGCGCCAATTGAATCTCCGGCAGCCGCTTCCTCTGGAGAGGAAGGTGCGGCCGCAGATGCGGGCATGCCACGAGGGCGTCGTGCGGAATAGGACCGTCGCGTCGATCGGGACCCCGACGACTCCACCTCTTGAGGGACGGTTGGCGCCATACCTGAGGGGGTCGAGGTGCCAGATCTGGCCGCCCTCGACCGGGACCTCGTCGCCGGGGGCGACCGCTCTACGGAGGAGGGGGAGGGGGAGGTGGGTGAGGATCGCCGCCGCTTTCTACCCATGGATAGAGAGCCGGTTTTCGAGTATGTCTTCGAACGAATCACGCCGCCGCTGCGATTTCGATTTCGCGGTGGAGTCGATGTAGGGGAAGACTGGGGGGTTTTGCCCTTTTTTTTTTTTAGGGCAGGACTGGTGATTTATGATGCTGATGCCCGCCGTGAGCGCCGGCGGCCCGCTGCTGGGCCGCGGCCCACGCCCATGTTATTATTTCCTTCTTTTTCTCTCTTCTTTTCTTTTCTTTTTTGTTTTCTATTTATCGATATTCTTTTTTTCCTTTCATTTTTTTTCTTTTGTTTCCATATCTATAAACCATAGTGTAAACTGCATCTACCATACAACAACTTGTATGGTCGTATCACCAGGCAAGGCTCCCAGTCGTCCGATTTCATATGCCTAGGTCAGGATTGGCTGCCTCGCAGGCATGCAAGGGCGCCATCCAAGCCCCAAATGCGTGTACGAGTCCCACAACTAAAAAGACTAAAGCATGGACAATTTTTTGGTGCGACATTCTAATGTGGGGCTATGGTTCTGCCTCCTGCGTTCCCATACCTCTTGCGCCTACGTTCCTCGCTTGCGAAAAAGGAAGGAAGAAACCTCGCTTGTCACAATCCTGCAATCACGCCCTCGCTCGCGCTATGCCCTGCCCTGCCTTGCAATTCCTTCGCCCCACGCTAGCCTGTGCCCGGCTTCTAAAAAAGGAAACCGGAATCTCAGGCGCTCTCAATCTCCTTCCTCCGTCCCGTGTGCTCCCGATCCTTCCTTCCCAGTTCGTGCGATATCTGTTCCCCTTCGATCGCTAAAGGTGACGATATCTCTCGGTAGCCCTAGCCATCGCATGCCATCACCGAAGCCAAATTGCCATCGCGCTGCAGTTCTCCGCCCTCGCCATCGCGTTGCGACCATGGGAGCATCCCCAACGCCCTAAACATAATCATAATAATTTGGTGATGGCGTGATTATTATCATAATCAAGTGCGAGTTGAACACAAATTTGGTGACGTTCACTGATTATTATCATAATAATATAATGGGTAGGTAATAAAACACAAATATAATGCTACGAATAACAAGACATGGCAAGAATATTTTTCTGCTCATCAGGTTTCTCAGATCATACATGGGAGAGACACCACTAGATCCACCAGACTAGTAAATCCAATGTTTCATTTCCTTGTTTACTCTAGCTAAAGTATCTTTTGTGTCGTATACTTTTGGCGACCGACTTGACCGTACTTAAATAGGTGGCCTTTGTGAACATTCCCGTGATTGGCTCGTCTCCCTTGCCTTGCGTCTTACGCCGATTTTTTTTTTCTTGACTCTATAAATCTAAACGGAAGTAGTAAAAAAATACTACCAGAGTGGAGAGAGTGAATTGTGATTTTGTTGGTTAATTGACCGCCATATTAACTATGGCTAGTAGCATGAGGAAGTCGAAATTTTATATAATAATAGTCAAAGCCAAAATGCCCCCACTTTCTTTTCCACGGTTTTTCCCAAATATCACCAAGTAGCCTGTTCAAGGACTAGTATGCATTACCACGATCCACGAGTGCCTTGTCGTAAATCTTTATCACACTCACTCCGCTACATGCATCTGTCGTCCAAGGCAACCGATTCATCATCCGGCGATGAGACGCAGACACGCTCTAGATTTGTTCATTTTCGCCATCTGGACAAGAGTCGCTAACCTTAATTTGGCACCATCAGAAATTGCATAGCCCCAAAAATGGTAGTGGGAAGAAAAAGAGTATTGCTAGAAATAAGAATATTAACAAAAAGATATTTTAAAAAATAAAATCAGAATATCAAAATATAACTATCTACACACAATAAAACAAAGGAGTTTTTGAAAGGTTGCCAACCCTTTCAATCTCCATACCTTTGTAAGAAGGAGTACATCCAATTCATCCACTGATTGTTATCGACCACAAGATGTAGATATGAGCATATCTATATTCATTATGCTGGGTGTGACCGTACTCATGGAAAAAAAACAATAGTAGGTGTCAAAAAAACCTTTCGCGTGCAAGGTATACACACTCTCCTTGGATATGCTTCAGCTCCACCTCTGGAGCTACACGCACATGTGTGTGAAATAGAGCCCTATCTTTTGGAACACAATACTTACATTGTCTTATATAATATTGTAACTTTACCTATAATTTTTTGTGATCATCGTGTTCGGTTGTCTAATTTGCATTACCCATTGGGTTATGTACCATGCCACGTGAAAATGTCATAAAAAATATTATTTTGAGACAGTCTCTCTTCGTGACTTTTATATTTTGCAATTTACAATATATGAATTGAGTTATATGAATTTTTAAAAATATTTTGGTTACCTTATTCGATATGATTTCGTGGGGACTCAAAAAGGCCATAAAGTGAAACCGAACATGCATGATACTACACCAGAGACATAATAGCCTCATCATAGCATAATATATGGAGCAGTATCCTCAGCTAAGAGTGAATCAATGGCCAAACGAGATACCGGAAGCATTCTCAATCTACCTATCTAGCAGGGACAAAATGTCGGAATTCTTTTATGTCATTATAGAGAAAGAGGTGTCACTACCAGCCAAACCCGTCTAGCTCAGTTGGTAGAGCGAAAGGCTCTTAACATTGTGCTCGTGGGTTCGAGCCCCACGGTGGGCGCTGTTTTTGTTTTATTTTGATTTTTTTTCATTTTCCTCTCCTTTTTGTGTTGCTTAAAACATGTTTCAGAAAACTTGTTTTGCACATATAAGACATACTTTACTCTTTTGCGTTTCATTCATGTAATGAATTGCGCTGAAATTTTCTTCTATGTCATCGCCAAAAGCAAGCCCAAATCCAATGTCCCTGACAAACATATCCATCTTTTACTGGTGCGAGTTGAACACAAATTTGGTGATGCTTAGTATAAGATTATCATCATAACAAATTTGATGTGACGAAGAATCTTAAAATTTTTTGGATTTTGAGTGTAAACAGGGCCTGAGGAGGGACGGGAGGACGCGGAGAGAGAGGAGATGGGCGCGAATACAAATGGTGGCCTGACCGACCAACCCCGTCCGTCGCGTGGTTGCCAAACAAACAAGGCCGCACCGCACCGCACCGACACACGGGTCAACGTTTTTACCAGTCAGCACTCACCACGCTGCACGTAAGGCCGGGCAAAAATAACCGAGAACCGAACCGAAAGAACCAGAACCGAAACCGAAAGAACCGGAATCGAAAATTTCGGTTCCTTATTCGGTTTCTGATATTGAAGAACCGAAATAACCGAAGAAAATTCGGTTCCTACTCTCGGTTAACCGAATTAACCGAAAGAACCGAATTACATGAATTATACTTCGCTTACTTGTATTTTGTAGGATTATGTGTAGTGTTTTATATTTGAACTGCTATATATTTGTGTTACTATATTGTTATTGTTTTCTTATATATTATTATTATTAAAAATGAATATAGTGTTGCATAAATTTGCCTTAGAACAAGTATATTTATTATTGTCTTGAGATCTTCTGAAAAAATTCGGTTAGTTCGGTTAGAACCGGAACTGAACCGAAATAACCGAGAACCGAAATGCTCAGTTCCTAAATTTTTTTGGAACCGATCAGTTCCTGTTTTCTAGGAACCGAATTTCTTCGATAACCGAAGGAACCGAACCGAAACCGAACCGAGAACCGAACGCCCACCCTGAGCTACACGTTTCCTTGTGAACTTTTTTTTTTTGTCGAGAAATAATTTGTTGTTTTCCTTGGCTCCAGTCCATCAAAAGTTCCTTATTTTACACTCAGAACTGTGACTGGCTGCCAAGGGCCTGTTTGGTTGGCAAATTTTTTGGCGAAATGCTACTGCAGCATTTTCGTTGTTATTTGGTAATTAATGTCCGATCATAGTCTAATTAGGCTTAAAAGATTCGTCTCGTGGATTTCATCTAAACTGTGTAATTAGTTTTATTTTTTATTTATATTTAATGCTTCATGCATGCGTCCAAAGATTCGATGTGACGGGGAATCTTTGAAAATTTTGGCAAAATGAAGTGAACTAAACTGGCTCCAATTGTAGTACTCCATCAAAAGTTCCTTTTTATCACATTCAAAATTCATACGAGCTATGTCGCATGGGCAGTCACTCCAGGGCTCCAGGTTCGTGTTGCCAAGAAAAGCAGCAATTGATGGTTAGGTAAGGTAACGACGCAATGTGCTCTGAAATTGTGATGCACAAGAAACAATGCTCGGGCAGCAGAGAAGTTTCCCTTTCCAGGTTAGGCAGCACTAAAGAGTAGGCCCAGCACCAACAGCAACAAGGCTGCAATGCATCTTCCTCTTTTTTTCAATATCAATCAACCACCATGTACTTTGCTTGGATCTAGAAGAAGAAACAGCCGGCACACCAGAAAAGCTCTTCCACCATACCCAAGGGCCAAAGTCCAAACCTCCCTCCCCTTGCATCATTTCTTGAATGTACTATACTACTATACCAGGACAGCAAAATCACAACTGCAAAAAGCTAGTCTGAAAAGCAAGCCTAGAACTGAAGCATTCAACAAAATGATTTTTTCACGCATAGGCAAAGGGGCGAGCCTGTGGACCGGCCCAAAGGTCTATATTGCATATAGAGAGTCTTCCTAAAAAGTTCATTGATCTTCTCCTATTCTTGGAGATCACCTTCAGCACATGAACCGCCACTTAGCCCTTTTATTCTTTGGCTTCCTCCTATTACTGCAAGCATGCAAATATGCTCTTATTGATTCCATATAGTTTGATGGAAACAAAGATTGGTTTAAACAAAAACAGAAGCACCTGGTATGAAAGGGATGGAGATCATACCTGATGCATGCAACCATAAATCACAAATGCCTTCTCTTCGTACCTCAGCCATAACCTGCAGGAAACTAAGGGGTAATAGAACATTAAAAAAAATAGTAAACGAAGAACTACCTAACCTTTCATAGCCAAGATTACAAACACATGGCGTGCAAGATCACATGCCAAATCGCATTATCCCAACAGATCGTGTTCGAATCACTTTTGTATGCCTGCAACATCCACTCATCCAGGGCCACAGCACAGTACAGACCTTTTGCTTGAGGCCCCGCTCTAGCCTCCACACAGGTGTTGATCCTCTCCACCTTCCCATGCCGCTGCACCACCGCTAGGACAGGGAAACGATGGTGACCGGAGAGCCATTCGCCACCTGCATCATCAAAACCAAAATATCTTCCAGGAAGCAGGGCCGCGCGCTGGAGCTAGATCTTTATTCCTCACATCCATAGCTACAAGGAGCGATGCCACACGCACAGCTGCGACTTCCTGTGGTCAACGCCGCCGAGCACGGAACGGGAGGAGCCAGAGGAGGCACCGACGCGACGCCCACGCGCGCACACCTGCGGGCGATGAAACTTTTGTGGCGCGGGAGGCGGGGAGGGGACTCCCGGCCATCGACGCCGCCGAGCACGAAGCGAGCGGAGGCGGTGACCCTCCACAGGAACCGCACCTTCAAAAATCGAGTGACAACACACAAAGAAAGCAGGATTCAGAATAATCAATTGAATGACGAAACACAAATAAAGTACGATTCAGAACAATCCTCTCCAAAAGAATAATGGCACAACCAAAGCACGATTTGCAACAATCAGACGCACAAGATTATACAACTCAAACACAAATCACTACAATGGCATCTATTTTCTACGCCCCCCTATCTCGCCACCGACGCCCGGCGCCCCACGAGGCCTCCGCCCCAGTCCCGAGGAGCACGGCAGTATCTCTCATAGGACGGCCACCACCTCTATGCAGTCCACGGTGCTGGCGAGGCGCAACGCCAGTCTCCACGGGCGGCGGCGTCTACCTGCAAGGCAGATCCGGCCTCCCCGCCCTGGCCGGCAGACCTCCTTTTCCCGCCCACAGCGCCGCCTAGCAAGAACCACCGTGCAGCTCATGGCGGCCTTGATTTGTAGCGGCCTCCGCTGCCCAACTCCTCACCTATTTGCAAGTCAGATCCGGCCTTCCCGCACCAACCACTGCACCTCCATTTCGCGCCCCAGTTCCCACTACGCAAGAAACTTCGCAAAACGAAAGTAGGAAAAGGATGTAGAGAGGAGAGCGCTCGCACCGGAAAACGGCCGGAACGGGCAGGCCCAGTTGTTATCCCCTGCGGTTTCTCCTTCTGGGAGACGCCGGCGACTGAGGCCCGCACACGATGGGGGCCTCCCGTGCCGTTGCGCCGCCGCATCAAGTCAGATCCGGCCTTCCCGCACCAACCACCGCGCCTCCATTTCCCGCCCCAGCTCCCACTACGCAAGAAACTTCGCAAAACGAAAGTAGGAAAAAAGGATGCAGAGAGGAGAGCCGCCTGGGCCGCGAGGCGCAGCACGTGCGTGAACGGCACCACGGACAGGTGCCGCTCCAGCAGCGCAGCGTCGTTGATGTCGGCGTCCAGCACCACCACGCGCCGGGGGGGAGCAGGGGCTCGGACGCGGCCGCGGCCATCGGCGTTGGACGGTGCACCATGGCGCCATGCCGGGGAACGCCGCTGCGCCGCGCACAGGGTGCGGGGAGCCTCGGCGGTCGCGACGAGGAGCGAGGGAGAGAGCGAGAGCGAGAGGAGGGGAGGAGCGGAGCTGCTGTCGCGTGCCATTTACACGAGAGAGAAAGAGTGGAGCCATGCCGGTCGGTGCATGGTCGGTGGCCCATCCAGTGCCGAGCGTACAAGCATGGTCGGCGCATGGTCGGTGGGTAAATTGGAGAGGTATTGAATGTTCATCTGTGCGACTTGTTTTTATCCGACGATAGTACGAAGGAGATACATGAAAGCTGATTGTGACGTGTCTTATCTATGCCGTAGAATCTCTTTCTAACGCACAAAATAAGTAGAATTACGTGGACACCCTACAAGGCCGGGCGTGCCTTCGTATCTTTAATTGTGTGCCAAGCTTACTGTATGCTGCTATGCATGAAGCGACAAGTGCAGCCGTCAACGTTGTCGCTGTCGGTGGGCCAAACAAATAATGGGGCCCAATATCAGTGGCAGCTACTACGAGAGACCACGGGTTTGCTCTTAGTACTATTTTGGAATGCAACTGGATTTACGAAATCATCACATTATGGTATAAAATAACCTTGTCCCCAACGACATTTTTGTAGGCTGTTTGGAAATAAAATACTGTAATAAGTGATACGGCAGGAGAGGGAACAGATATGCACTGTTCGGCTGGCATTTTGTCCATGGACGCGGTTAACGCATGCATGCCGTGCTGACATAAGCCTAAAAAGGTGAAACATTTTTTTTTTGAATTGCTATAACTCTTGAATGGTGTATCCGTTTTCAATTCCGTCTGCACCAGTGTGTTCTACACGATGAGATGAACAAAACTAAACCCACTTGCTTATGTTTCAAAGAATTTTATTTTAGTAGAAATATATGTGTAATACGTGCTAAGATTTACAGAGGAATTACTACCATATAATACTAAAGTTGCTACTCCAAAATATATTAAAGTTGTTATATGCACATCTATTGTTATCATGAGAATATAATAAATATCAAAAATAAGTTACTACCATGTAATACTAACTCTTAAAGGGAGTAACGGACCAAAACAAAATAAGCTGTAAATTATTAAAATAAACATTGCATAAGCTGTCAATTAGGGGGACAAGTTATTATGCAATAAATTACAAAATATCCTGGAAACATGACTTGTTGCCAATAGGGCATTTATTAAAAAATCAGGGTAGCGATACAAAGCAAGACAATCTGCAACCTGAGGGCAAATTAATAGAACAAGCATTACATAAGCTGCCAATTAAATGGACGAGTTATTATAAAACCCACTATATAAGTCGGGAAACATGACTAGCTGAAAATTGGAGGGATGTTTATTAAAAAGACAAGAGTAGCAACCCAAAATAAGGTAAGTTGCACCTTAAGGGGTAAATTATTAGAAGAAGCATTGCATAAGGTGCCACGTAAAGGGTAAGTTATTATACAACTAATATGTATGATTTAGGACGAACCTAAAAGTATGACTAAAAACTGAAACAAAAAAAAACATTAAAACACATGATTGAAAAACTAAAACTAAAACTAAAAAAACTGGAAAAAAAAACTTGACTGAAAAATAAAATTGGTGGCAAATTCTTGCGGCAACTTATGTGCAATGGTTATCGTTTTGTGACAACTTATACATTGTAGGTGAGGCAACTAATATGCAGGATTTAGAAAGACATTCAAACCTTAAAGGGATGACCAAAATCTGAAACTATTTTTTAAAAAAAAACTAGACTAAAAAATGAAACTTAAATAATTGAAAACTTAATGGCAAGGGCTTGGGGGAAGCCTATCTTCCCCTTCTCTACTCTCAATTCTAAACTCGATATCATACAACTAATATGCAGTTGTCCCTTTCAAGGTTCAGTGTTTCAGATATCATTATTTCATTGTTCTCTGTGATTTTCTGTTTTTTCCGTGATCCAATTTCTAATTTTTGTGTTCATCATAATTTTGCGTTCTTTGTTTCAATTGATGTAGCCTCACATACCTGCAAAATAATTTGTTATTTAGCTCCTCCTGGTAATAAAACTTTCTATTCTCACATACCTGGAGCATGTACTTGTTTTGTTGATCTATATATTCTGATCCTTTGTTGTCAATTTCAGTCAAGCTTTGTTTAACATATCTTACTATTTCCTTTGACTTTGGACTTAAAGTGATGCTTATAGCATCTTGTTGTTTTTGTATGTTATTTGACAATACATATGTATCTTCAACCTGCAAAAATGTTAGATGAGGAGATATTATTTGTTGTAGAAGTTGTCTTTCTCATAATTTTTCAAAATAGTGTATCACCTGCTTTTGTATGATATCTAATCTTGAAGGTTGAAATTTCCTTGTTCTCGGCGATAGAATTTGGCTCATTACCTTTGCGAACCCTGACCCTGTATTATTTTTAAAAAATATGTTCGTGCAAAAAGTGACCAACAAGTAAATATTTGTAGTTTTGTCGTGCGTTGTGATCGGATGTGGCCTAGCACTCAATGACACAGGGTTTATACTGGTTCAGGCAACGTGCCCTACGTCCAGTTCTAGTCGGTCGGTGACTTTTATTCCTGAGCCCAGGTGCTCGAAGTTTGCTGTGGGGTTACAAACGAATGGGAATAAGAAGGGGGTGTTAAAGGTCCGGTCAGGCTCTAGACCGAAGGGCCAAGAGTGATGGAAGCTCCTACGTGCGCTAAGTATTGAAATATATGTTCTATGCAGCTTTAGAGTTCTAGAGCCGTGAAGCTGTTCGAATGCTCAGAATATCTAAAGCTTAGCAGAGAGCGAGTCGGAAAAAATGACCGTCCTCTATTGGGAGAGAGCGCATCCCCTTTTATAGGTGAAGGGGATGGCCTTACAAGTGAGAGAGAGAGAGTGTGTGCTTGTATTTTTACTAAGTCTTGTTGCCCACGCTGTCGGGTACAAGACGGTCGTCGGCGCCCACAATACTGTTTATGTTAGACGCGTATGGCAGGCTTTATCGTGTTCGTCTGATATGGCAAATGATGGCGCCCATAACACTGTTCGGGTTCTGACATGTCTGGAAGGTTACAAAGCACCCTTCTGCCAGGGCCTAGCGGTATTGTCTTGCAGGTGTGCAGGGTACGGTCCTCGGTATTGTGGTTGACTTGAGCGCCTTGCCCTATCTGCTCCGCCTGATTCTTAGGTCCTCACCGAGCGGGCGTCCCCGGTCGGTCGTTCCCAGTCGGCTTCGAGCACGCCGGTCGGAGAAGAGCGGTAAGCAGAGGTTCGATGTATTCCTAGTTGGAAAAGCGGGTCGAAGTCGGAAGCGAGTGTTGTCCCCTTCTTGGCCAGGCCTTTCGGTTGGAGACTGGATCGCTCTTCTGGCCTATCGTTTAGTATCTGGGCTAGCCCAGGAGTCGCACGTTGTTGTAATGCCGTCTGCTGGGCCGAGCTTTTGCTGGAAAGCGGGCCCATCGGGGACCCTAGGTTTATGAACCCGACAGGAGCCCCCGAGCCCTTTTGGGACTTCTGCGAAGTTGTGAAGGGGCTGTTTATACTCGTTGTACGAGAGCAACAGATGGGTGCAAGATCGTGAGTCACCGTCGGGCATGACGGAGCATGGACCCAGACGTTGGGCGCGGCCGAGGGGTTGGGCGCAACGGAGCGTGGACCCAGGCATCGTACCGACAAACCAGCATGCTGATCAGCGGCTGTACCGAGAGTTGGCAGCATAGCGACCATGCATCCGTCACTGTGGGTTGATGTGAGTCCCCTAGAACGACAAGTCGCGGAGATGGGTCATGTTGAGATGCGACCGCTCTCTACACGATGCTAGAAGTTTGACCTGGGGTTGTGCTTTTTGGCCAGTAGTGGTTGGTGGCGGCGTGAGCTTCCGTTAGGAACCGTGTCTGAGGGATCGGGCAAAGCGGGGCCAGCTCTCAGACGTCGGGCGAGCCGGGGCCCAGCAAGGGGTGTGGCCTTGGTGGTCCTATAAATCGCCTGGGGGATTTTTTGACTTGCCAGCGGGTGCGCGCGAGCACACCCGGTGGGTGCAGCCCCGAGCTCGCGGGTGATTCGGATAGAATCGCCTAGGGGTTTTTTGACTTGCCAACGTTCTGAGCCATCATTTCCGGGAGCGCGGACCCAGGCGTCGGGCGCCAACCCAAACATCGGCCATAGCCGCGGGGTCGGGCTCGACGGAGCATGGACCCAAGTGTTGGGCGTGGCCGAGGGGTTGGTCTAGTTTCATGTGTTACCCTATCCACAGTTTCCGCAACCGGAGGGGTTGTACTAACGTCGCTTGCCTCGATGGCTCGAGTGACGCGCTCGGTGAGCTCTCTAACGGGTCATTCGTAACGGGGTCGGCATAGCCCTCATGTGGCATTCCACTGCTACTTAACCCGCCTCTTGGTAGATGCCTAAGCCGTTTCGGAGACCGACTCAGGTGGCCCACTGGCCTCCCCTCAATGGAGATTCTGTGGGCATGGCTCGAGGTTAGGGTCGAATGAGAAGGTCGAGATGACCCTGTCTGCTTCTGAGCAGATCAAGCGAGCGCCGCTGGGGCTCATCTGCATTTTCTCCCCTGGCTCTGTTTGACGCGAGGCGGCCTCGAGCCCTTCGTGGGCCGGCCTTCGAACCACGATCGGTCGTCGCTCATGTCGAATGAGGCGACTACCGCTTCGTGACGCAACACAAAGCGTTGTGATGCATCAATTGCATATGCAATGCTTTGGATGTATGGGATGAATGTGTGAATGCGTGTATGCGGAAGGATGAATGAATGATTATGCATTTAGAAAATAAAATAAAGTAAGAAAGTTTGGAAAAGATACCTTGATGACTCAAGTGGCGGGTTTGAGGAGCTCTTATCGGATATGTTTGAATGGGATCCGTGTCCGTCATTTGCGACGGAGTCAGCGTCGCCCACATGGGGCATCCCACTGCTCCTTACCTGTCTCTCGGCAGTCGCCTGAGCCATCCGATTGACTCAGGTAGCCCATTGATCTTTCCTTGATGAAGATCCTATTGGTGGGCTCTTCCAAACCCTATCTGGGAAGGTGGAGGTTCATTTGCATACGGTTGTGCCTTGTTTCCTATGCATGGGTTGTGGTAGTGGTGGGCCCTACCTAGGCCAT